GCAGCCATCACGTGGCCACCGTCCAGCGTCATTTGTACTCCCCTCCTTGACATTCTTTCTTTCTTTCCTTCTCTTCCCTCTTCAAATCAACAACAACAACAACAACAACAACAACAACAACAACAACAACAACAACAACAACAACAACAACAACAACAACAACAACAACAACAACAACAACAACAAGAAGAAGAACGCCTCCCAGCGCCTCCCGTCTTCAAACCGGATCAGGTACTTTTTGTGGCTGCAGCTACTGGATCCCGGCTCTGTCTTCGTTGGCCAGGACCTGGCGTTTTGTCGATCTCCGGGTCACCAGATCTCTGCGTTGGCAGTTCGATCACAGCGACTGAGAGGGTGTGAGCAGAAGAGCCCTTGCTCCTTAACCCCCGAGGTACAACGCGCAGACAAAGTCGCCGTCCAAAACTATGAGTATTCCGTAACAGCATTTAATCTTGCTTAGCGACCTTTGCGCCGACCGATACGGCATCTGTTCCTTTCCCCCCCTTCTCGGCCATTCCTTCGATCTCACGCGTGATCTCTTGGGTCTGCCGGGGGACGACAGGATTCCCTTGTTTTGGATTTCCTTCGATAACTTACCACTTTCTTAGCCTTTGCTTCCCCTGTGAAATCCCGTCATTGGGGATTTCCAATCCCGGTCTTTGACCGTGTTCTCGCGTCAGATATTATCTAGATAGACCATGAGGACAGCATCATCCTCCACGTCAACCATACGATTGCGCAACACCGTCCCGCGTCATGAGCCTCTCTATAGCTCCTAGAGTCAGTTGGTTCATCTACAACGGTCTCTACATACTTTAAGTACATACCCTTTCCATTTGGCCTAGACAGCCGCCGCCTCGGTTTCTAGATTAATGCGCCTTCGTATTCCAAGGTCCAGGCCTGGTCGATCGGCGCCTATTCCTTGTCTGCCCCCTCTTCCTCCATTCACCCATGCTCGTCACTTTCCCATGTGCAATATACATATCGAGTACGTTCCTGTCTCAATGAATTGTTATGTCATGGTCATGATAGGAATATAGTGCTCGAGCTTTGATTGATCTTCCGACCTTCCGCTCATCCAAAAGGGAACTCCAAAAAAAAAAGGAAACTGATCCGCTGAGCATGGATAATCATCCAGCCTCTCAGTGGCAGAAACGTTTCCCCCCTCCCCCCTGTCTTTTTCTCACGTCAATTTCTTCATTTCCTCATTTCTTTCCTATTCTTTCTTTCCCCCGCCGTCATTCCCTTCCGGACTCTTAGATCCACAGGGTAAGAAAAGAAAAGAAGAGAAAAATCCCCTGAAATCCGACATATCGGCCCGCAACTTTTAAGGGTCACACACCCTTGGAACAGGAAATTCTTATTTTGACATATGCTGTGTGTGTCGGACAATTTTATTTTTCTTTCCCCTTCTTTCCGCGGGATAATCTTGATTTCTGGAATAGTGGGCAGACACACCCCCTGAAATCAGCTTCAGAGAAGGGGGGGGAAGGCTTGACGTACGGCGTCATGTGTTCGGCGTTTCTTTATACTCAGTAGTAGAGATGGATGTAAGTAGATGAGGATGTTAGTTGACGATGGTAAATGACCCCTGACTGGATGACCTCAGAGGGGCTCCAGGATTCTTGACATCCACAGATCATGCCACCACCTCCCACCAGGAAGTAATCAAACAGAGGATCAGGTCTGCTCGTATCATCTGAGCTTTTTTGGACATCATTTTCATGAATGCATCGCATTGGCTCTAGAGCTATAGAGGTTAGACAAGATGCCAATGATATAGTCGGAACGCAGTTAATGTCTAATGCTTACGCTCGCTTGCTTGCTTGATTTACCTTACTGGCGAGCTAGCGAGCGTGCTTATTCTGTTGACTGTATGCAATTGTTACCTGTTGCTCGAATATCTGATGCCAGCGGACTGATTGACTGTCTGCCTGCCTGCCTTACCCCTACCGCGTGTGCGGTGGCAGTATCTCTCCCTCCCTCTTGTAACCTCAACCTGTATAGTGCTAGTACTAGCACTATTCTCGTCTTCGACGCCGATGGAAGGACGGACAGGGAGTGGAGGGTTTTGCTACTCTGGTCGGCATTCTTGGGTGATGGATGTCGGACATGTGCGACGAGGGTTTGTGGTTCCGGGGGAGAGGAGGGGGGAAAGGAGAGATGTTCCACCATTTTTGTGATGTTTCTTTACTTCGGTCGGTGCCTTTGTTCTGGTTTTCGGCGGTGTATCTCCTAGCTTGGCTATCTAGCTTGATGGGGAGTGGATAATGTAAGGGTTGCGTGGGGGGTTATAAGGTATAAGAGCTTGGTGTGTGAGGATGGGTTGGGGTAAAGACTTTATGGGTATAAGGACTTTGCGTAGCTGGTAATTCTTAGAATGAAATTTGTTCATTGTAACGGGGCGTCCCCATAGCTAATGTAAGGTGGTTTTCTTATGGTACATTGAAGGCGTTGGTCCGAATTAAAGATGGTAATGATGTAGTGGGCGGAGTTGAACAGAACAGCCGCGAAGAAAGAAAGAAGAAAGAGGAGTCATCAATCCGTCAGGTCAGACACACGAGAACTCTCTTATGCCCGAGGTGTCCCCAAGAAAGCGAGATGGATAAGGAAAGAGCAGAAGAAGTCGTCTAAAGTGCCTTCTCGGACCGACGTTCCCAGTGCACCATGGCTGGCTTCAGCGGACCGGAGAACAAGGTCGAGTAGTCGGTTCCTGGAACTCCCTTCTTGCCCTCCAGGTTGTAGACCCGCAGATGGCGCACAAAGGTCGCAACAATGGTGGTCAGGTTGAGGTAGGCAAACTTCTCGCCAATGCAGCGGTGACGGCCAGCTCCGAAGGGGAGGTAGGGACTGGCGGTGCCCTTGGAGACGGCGCCGTAGCCGTAGTCAACAATCTCGCCACCGTCTTCTTCCTTCTCCACCTGGTCGTCCCAGCGGTGCGGATCCCACTTGCTCGCATTGGGGAAGAACTCGTCGCTCTGAGCGGTGACACCGGGTGAGGCCATCAGCACATGGCCGGTGGGCACGACCAAGTTGGTACCGGGCACTGGCATGTCGCTTTTGACCTTGCGCATGATGGAATGGATGGACGAGTGGAGGCGGAGGGTTTCCTTGATGACACTCTTGTGCAAGGGCAGCTTGTCGATGTCCTCATACTGCAGCGGGGCGAAGGTTCCGTCCGCTTCGCGGCGGAGGTTGGAGACTTGTTCCTGGTAGAGATCATCGAGGTAATGAGGTTCGGAGGCCAAGCGAAGCAAGATCCAGGCGCTGATGGAGGCACTCGAATGCTGGCCCGCCAGGAGCAGGGTGATCATGATATGTGCGATCTCATGGTCCGGCACCGGCTGTCCATTCTTGTACGTGCAGTGCATCAGGTTCCACATCATGTCGGATTTCTCCTCATCAGGGTTCTTGCGCCGTTGGTCCAGGATCTCCGTGTAGATCTCGCGCATGCGGGCATGCGCCACGTCCCGCTGGCGGTTGTGCGGCAACGGCGCCCACGGCAGCATGAAGTTGATTGGACTAAAGCCCTTTTCGAGGTCGTGGTAAAGGTCGGCGAATTCGGAGGTCAATTTGCTGCGGACCTCCTCCCCTTGCAGGGCGCGCGCTGCGGTGTAGATCGTGAGCTCGGACATGGCGGCGGGAACGTCGAACACCCCAGAGCTTCCCTGGAACCAGGGCGAGGTGCGCAGGAAGTCCAGCGTCTCCTGCTCAATCAATTGCACGTGCGATTCGAGTGCGGTTTGCGTGAGACCGTACTTGACGAATTTCTTCTGTTCCATGAGCTTGGAGTTGGGGCAGTCGTACACCACATCGGCTCCGAAGACCGGGGTGGTCAGGGGGGAATACACCTCCTCGGCGTTCGCGTCCTTGAGTTTCGCATTGAGGATGAATTCGTTGCCTTGAATACCTAGGTACACCGTGGTCTTTTGTCCCAGCAGCACAAATGTGAAGATATCACCGTACTGTTTACATCACCGTGGGTCAGCTCGTACAGGTGCAGTAAATTGTGGCTGTGGAGGCACTGACCTTTTCTCGGTTGGCGAAGAAGAAAGCGTAGGGGTCCATGCCATAGGTGATGGTACTCCCCAAAAATGGAATCCAGTGGAAGACGACGGGGGGCTCATTCTTGTTCCGAAATAGCAATTGGCGCAAGACATTCAGCGCAACGATGATCACGAATCCCGCGGCCGCGTAGGCGCTGGCGACAGCAAAGGATGTCATGACGGTGGAGTGCTCAGGGTTGAGTGGATTCAAACACAGAGCAGAGAGGGTTAGAAGAGGGAAGAAATCCTCATCTGGACGAAAGAAAGAGTGAACTGGAGAAATGGAGACAAGAGAGGAAAGAAAGGCCAGGTTTCCAGCGTCTCCAGGTTATCCACTGCGCAGAGCTCTCCGTGTTATCTTATTAGCCAGAACTGCCAGGCACCAGTACCAGCACCAGCACCAGCACCAGCACCAGCAGAGCCCCTGATATTGATTGACCGACCATTCACTGGCCAGTCAGGGAACAAAGAGCCCGGCATGAACATGGCTCCAGAGCCGAGTCAGACCACTTGGAGACTGTGGATAAACATTGCCTGGAAAACATCGAACCATGCTTAAACCGCAGGCAAGGAGCAAAAAGAGTGCTTTGAGGGGAACTGGACTCGGTGGTCGGAAATCTCCACACTTGCCCGTTTGGGCCATTCTCGAAGCAAGTCAATCGTATTGAATACGCCTCCCTGTCATTGGTCGACCCACCACCTAATGTAACGCAGTGCCTGAGGCAGGAACAAGCATAAAGGCGCGGCACTAATTACCTTATTATTGGTACGCAAAACTTATGCCAAAGAGAGGGCTGGGTACTGCAAGACTAGCTTGTGGAGTGAGACACTCAGACACCTGCTCGAGATTCACTGCTCCCACCCTGTGGCAAGCAGGTGAGTCATGGCTCTACAGGATGACTCGGCGGAAATGATCAGAATGAGTAATCATGATGATGACGCTGTGCCTGTCCCATTCGAGACTAGCTTCTGCGGAGCTTGATCGCCGCCCTGGCCATATATGAGTATCTACATTGAGTACAAAGCAGAACCACATTCTGTAATTGTATACAGTCGGTCATTGTACATACTTCTAGCATATCTACTTGCCATCTAAGACTCAGATTGTTCCGGGCATTGACAAGATTCTGTCAATATCGAAAAGCAAACCATGAGCACCACGCAGTCCGGGAGCTCTGGTACTGCCACCTCTGGCTCACCCCACCGACCGATCTCAAAAGCAGAAGCATCGAATCCTAGAGAATTCCAGCTCAATCAGTTACGGCGTCGCTTTCGCCCCCAGGAAAGCAGTGATGACGCTGGAACCACGGCAACTTTCAGGCTTACCCCCTCTGATCCGGACTTCCCCTTCGAAATGGACAAGCTACAGTGCATTTTACACGTCCCTCTAACTTACCCGACTCAAGGACGTCCCACGATCAAAGTCACCAATCCCGAAATGGGAAGCGCATTCCAAGAGAATATTGCTAGAGGCTTCGATGACATTGTCGACAGCACCATCAGAAGCGGCAGCCGTGGGACGCTGCTCAGCTACATGAACACTCTAGACCGACATCTGGAGCGCTTGCTGACGACTTTGGAACGGGGACCGACGCTCAAGTTTGTGCCCAACACAACAGCAAGCAAGCCACAGTCAGCGGTGGTCCAGAAGCTGTCACGAGATATGGAGTCGCTCGCTGTGTCTTCGTCAACCTCTCAGCCTCGGACCCAAGTGCTGTCGACCCCCGAACCTGCCCCGCTTCCAACATACACCGCGGCCGAGAAGGCTCAGGCGGAAAAGCGACGAGCAGCGGAGACGAAACAATTGGAGGCTCGACTTGGTAGATTGTCCTCTTTCCAGAAGCTCAGTGACGGTCTCTCTTTTCTCATCCCTATTCAGCCGGCCAAAATCGATCGGCTACCTGTGCCCCTCCGGTCTGTGAAGGCTGTCAAGTTGCAGGTGCCTCAATTGTACCCGCTTGAGCCCAGCGCCATTGAACTGAACAGTATGGAAGGCCTAGAGGCTCGAGCTGTCGAAGCAGGCTTCAGCAAGTGGGTTCAAAACAACCTAAACCTAAATCTGATGTCGCAGGTCAATTATCTCACCAGCAATATGCTTAATTTCTCCAAGACGCCAGTGGAAAGCGCTCCCGCTCCGGTTGCAACATCCGAGATTCCAGATTCTAAGCCATTCGAGGCAGCTGCAACAGGTCCGCCGGTTCCAGAATCCGTGGCGACGGACAAACCCCATGTCCATGTTGTGCCCCGACCTCCGGAATGGAACGTGGGTGGTGACAGTAGTGCTTCTGAGGAGACGGATTTCACCGAGTCTGACGAGGAACCCACGGAAGACGACGAAGATGGAGGCGCTCCTGTTCCCGATCTTCCCGAGCCTACCAATGTTGAACGCGGCGTTGCTCTCTCCTTCCCATTCCTGGAACTCTACGGGATTGAGCTTCTGGAGCTCGTCGGTCTTTATATCACAATCAAATGCGATCGATGCAAGGAGACGATGGATGTGAGAAATATTCCTCAGATCAAAGACAAAAATGACGAGCTGTCTCTCAAAGTGGAGACATGCAAGAAGTGTGCGAACACGATGAGCATGGGTAAGACGATCTGCTCCAGTACCTAACGCCTTAGCTCCAAGGATTCTCATTTTGATCTGTAGGATTCCGTCGTCAATTGATGCATCCCAACGCGACTCGAGCTGGCTATCTGGACTTGGATGGATGCACTGTAGTCGATCTTCTCCCTAGGTAAGCAGATACTCTGCTTAGAACGGAGTGCTCCCTCTGTCATGACCTCTGTCATAGTAAAATAGGCACTAACAACCGCTGCAGTAGCTTTATACCCACGTGCGCGGAATGCTCGACGCCATTTCCGAGCCCTGGAATTGTGGCGGTTCGTGGCGAAAGCGCAATGGCTAACTGCCGCCAGTGCCATCGCAAAATGGGTACGTCTATTCTTGCCAAGGCCATTGATCATTCATTATACTTATCTGCACTAGTTCTCAAGGTCCCGGAGGTGAAGTTCCTCAAAGTCGGGTCTGCAGCATGTAAGTATTCAAAGTCTCGCATTTAGGATCAACCCCTCACACGTTCAACACAGTCTCTTCTCGTGATCGTCCCCCTCCCCGAAAGAAGGTATGATTCACAATCCAAGATGACTCGCAATCAAGCGCATACTGATATGATATCAGCCCAAGGAGGTCCTCGGCATCGTCGCCGGCCAAGAACTGCCCCGTCGCGGCCGGTGCCCGCATTACGGGAAAAGCTATCGCTGGTTCAGGTGCGCCGGAGCCTAGAGCCCACCCAAGAAACGAAATGATATACCCATGCTAATATCCTCCGCCCTACAGATTCAGCTGCTGTGCCAAGGTCTTTCCGTGCGACAAGTATGACATCCACCCCGCCGTCCCATAAACATACTAATCGATTCCACAGATGCCACGATGCGGCCACTGACCACCCCAATGAACATGCAAACCGCATGATCTGGTAAGCAACCACCGACTCTGGGTGTCCGCACGATAAAAGCCTCGAAACTGAGTTGTCATATGATACAGTGGCTTCTGTTCTCGGGAACAAATCTACCGCCCCGAGAACTGTGGGATCTGCCGCGCCGTCCTGATCGGTAAAGCCGGGAGTGGCTTCTGGGAAGGCGGGAAAGGGACCCGGAATAAGACCCTGATGAGTAGGAAAGGTACGTTGCGTGTTTTCCTCTTTCGATTGATCTGATTCCACATGCCCCTCTTGTGAAATTCTTTGCTAACGCTGTGCAATACACAGATCCACGCAAGTATAAGCGTCGTGGTGGCACGACGCCTGGCGGTTCGTCCAAGAAGACTTAGGTTGTTCGGGCTCGAGGCTCGTTCTGCTAAGAGCTGGTGAGATAGAGAAGCAAAGGAGGCCCTGCAATGAGACACTTCGTTCTGGGCGCTTGCTCGCCTCCACCCCCTTCGTCACGAATTGTTCTGGCTTGTCCGTGGGCTGGAAGCATTTGTTCTGCTCGGTCCCTTCTCCGCGCGGGTGAAAGATGGAGGATTACGGCATTGTGTCGGACAACTACTGCTTCCATTTTCGTGATGAAGTATGTCGGACTAGCCAGTTGCTGCCAGAAAGGCGGGCAGATATTAGAAGTCTTGTGGGCTGGCTTAAATTCATCATTACCTTGGGCAGCAAGCTGCTCACAGGTCATGGTTCACCAGATTTGAGGTCGTAGTTCTCCGGGGGAACCTGTGAATATGGAGTCGAGGTGTCGATGGCGGTGGTCATTGTGAATGATCGGTTGTGTATGAGTGTGAATACTTCCTAAACTACATATAACTACATCTCCCCGACTTCACTCGGGCTGAAGAAATGCTGGTTTCTGCTGTAAGCATCATCGCCTTAGGTGATTTTTATCTCTCTAATAAAGCTGCTGGAGTTTCAAGTACTATGCAACGCATCCGCAGTAGAATAGTCCGAGACCTTGGTCAAAGATAGGTTCACCAGACACGCAGATAGCTTCTGCAACACAGCGGAGAATCAAGATCTCTACTCGTCATCGATACTTCTGTACGAGCTACAATATTAGTTAAAGCTTCATTCCTACGAGCAGAATAACCCGATCAACATTCTCTGTTCCAATACCCAAAAGCAATCCCCTTTGTATACCCCAGAGTGCTTCCAATATAAAGTCCTAGGCAACAACAAAGCTTGCTATAACCCCCCCCTCACCTTCGCTAACCCTCCCATACTCGTAGAGCTGACAAAGTCACCCAGGGAAGCATACACCCAGCCTAGAAGCGCACAAGGTTGCATACACACAGTAGACTAGGACTAGCCATGACCGTGTTATAACGGCTATAACATTCACCATCGCCCTAGTGGCAAGGCAGATTGTATCATCGCACTAGTGCGTATTGTCGTGCCTGCGTATAGAACGCAGCGGTGCCCTGCAAATCGTCCGTATCTTGCGTCGTGACCGTCGCAGGCATGGTGTCTGGTGAATGTATTTGTTTCTCTTTCTTTCTTTCTTCTCCCCTCTTCCTGTTGTTCTTCATCTTCCTCCCTGACTGCAAACTTTCTCCCTCCGGTTCTTTGAGCTTAAACTCAGACTTCACAGGGCTGTGACAGTTGGCACGCTTTCCTCGTTGACGCAATAAGAAAGCTGTGCTCACGACGATTGTCATCAGTAAAATTCATTCGGGCTCACGTCCTGAAATCAAGACTCTCAGATAGAGATACCGGGTGATGAGCGGTGTGAGTGGTCACACATGTAAAGTTCATCATGTTAAACCGCGGTAAGTATATCTTTCATAACCAAGGGAGTTGTCTTATAGGGGCTTTATGCATAAGCCAACCCTCTTTGGAGATCTTTATGTTCTCTCAGCTTCGAAGCTAGCTTTATATGCGTGTGATTATGTTGTCGGGACCATTAGGTTCTCTTTTCATCTAAAACTGAGGCAACAACAAGAGATATCTGTATGATAAAGAATGGTTCTTAGTCGAACAGATTGACCGAGGAGGAATCTGATATTGCAGCTTGATATCCTGAGTCGGAAGGGAGCCAGATCTGAGTTTCGGAGACGAATATGCTGACAATGCTCGAATCAGAGAACAGAGCCAGACGCAGACCATCGGGACGGCCACTGCCCACTGTCCCGCAGATCCTCGAAGGCATTGAGCTGGAAGAAGTGGTCGATTGCCTGCCATCAGTTCACCAGGTCCTCAGCAATCATGAGGCAGCTGATTCAGGTCCAGGCGTTGTCCAAAGATCGTCCAACAGACCAAGGCCATTGGTCAGTGCATGCGTTCATCTCCTTTCCGTCATCACTATTCTTTACGATAAGATGAATGACTTACAGTTCTCTCATATCAGACGTTAGATGAAGCCAGTGTGGAAGCATTTGCAAACAACCGTTCTCCACATGGACAGCCCGCTAGAACCGCGAGACTTCTTCCACCTCCTTACGGCTCGTATCGTCCATCCAGAGCTGCGCCTGTGGCTACACATTCCGCTCATCCTCTCCTCCAGCAGCCTCCGGCTTCCACCGCGGGAGAGTCGAGGCTGACGGCCGCACTGGCTGCTCCTGTCATCGTGGTGACCGATCCCGATGGTGATCAGCGAGCCCTAAGCACGGAAGACGATTTTCTCTTTCCAGTGCCTCCTCCGGTGTACTCATCGCCCCAACCAGGTATTCCTCTTCCCCATGTAGCCGAACAACACCGCGGACAAGCTTATGACATATTAGAGGAGTTCCGGAAGAGGCAACCCCGCAGATCCACAGTACAATCCTCCCATCTCTCCCCATATTGGCAGCCTCGGCCCGTCCGCAACTACTCGTCGTTTGCCGGAGGGTACCCGCAAGACAACGCGATGGGCCTCCGGGGGTCTGTCCCCGTCCCCTCCCGGCAGTGAGGTCGTGACCGTGTTTGATGATCAGCCCGCTCGGACGGCGAAGTGCGATGTGTGCGATGGCCGCAACACATCCGGCATGAGCAGATGTACGGTGTGCAAGTGGCAATGTTGTCACGATTGTACCATCCGCAATGGACTTCGCCGATCTCACATTGCCGGGAACGTAGTGCATGTTGCGCCGATCACGCGGGAGGAACTGTTACAGAGTAGCACGGAAGCGAGTAGGTCGACAGGCAGAACAACGAGAAAGAAGAAAACGAAGAAGGTGGGTGGTGCAAGGGCGAGTGCGAATGCGAGGAACAACCGCGGTTTGGAGTTCCAGGAGTCCCCAGTCAGCACCTCAGTGGGAGCAGCCATCGAAGCAAGGTACAATGTGGAGGCAAGTGCATTGGAGAATCCTCATCCGCGCGCTGGTAGCTGTAAGTCAATCGTCGATGGGGACGTTATAGTGCGAGACTTCGGGGCAGTGCCTGAAGCAGAAGGTACGACGGCCAAGGCAGGTGCAAACTTGAAGAACATCACCGCTGGCAGGAGCTACAATCACCGCGAGCCCATCGCTCAAGGCGAACTGCAGCACATTCGCACATTTCCCAAACCCAAGCAGGGCCAGCAATTTGTCAGTGCAGCGCATCCTCGCTACAGCCACGAGCTCATTTGGGGTCCACCGGCTGGCATCGATGACGCCTTCACCCACAACGCAGATCGTGTTCACATCCCAGCCACTCCACCTGATAGACCAGATTACAGTGATCAGGAGTTGAAGGATGCTGGGGAGCTTCTTGCCTTCTCAACCGCGGCGACAGCGATAGAAGCAGTAGAGCGAGGTAAGTCCCCGGACATGATGATACTCACAGTCCGATACTCGATATTTAACAAGGTATACATCTCGCAGCCGGAGGTATTCCAGATAAAGGTCGCATTATCGAGGACGCGAGCGCATTGGCCGAGCAGGGAGTTGAGGAGTACAAGCAGGGCCGTGCTTTGGAAATTATCAGGAGTATGAATCCGACCCAGCATCAGGAACTCGCGAAGCACGGTGCTCTTCAGGTCGAAGCGGAAGGTATTGTGGCAGCCCGCGCTGCTGCGCGTCTCAACCACTTTCCTGGTTCCAGTCGCTAAGCGTAAGTGATCCCATCCCCTCGTTGGGATTCTCCGGCACGGATGCTTGCTTATGGTTCTCAAGCAGACACACGTCTTTCCTCTCAACGTCACCTATAGATTGGAGAAGCAGCCGTGGCCGAGCATGCTAGATCTAATTTTCGATATTAGAGCTGAATTTCATTAAATTTCTTGTTGGGTAGGGTGTTGCTTTTGATCGGAGATGGAACGGCTCGGGGATGATAAAGCGGCTGATGTGGGACGAGATATTATGGGGGTTTTTAGCTGCGTACGTTAGGTTCTCAGGTTCATCCTGCAAAGCTTCTTATCGCTACAGGATCTAGTAATAATGCGCAAGATAGCACTGAAAATGCAACGTTATTGTACAAAAAGGAAAGAAACAAGCTCCGAAAAGTAGAGAGGACGATGGGTTATAAGTACAACACAGGAGAAATTGAGGAGCCACTTCAAGCGGTACTGTGGCGGGGCCATACACATGCATTTCTTTCGTCAACGATCCCCACAATCCCTAGTCTCAGGGATTTGACAGAGAAAAGATTTAGGCCTTCTTGGCAGCAGCGCGAGCAGCCGCATACTGCTGTCTCAGCTGGAGTAGCTTAAATGTCCGGGTTGGGCGCCAAACACGGCTGCCCAGGACCAATACCCAAGTGAGCAAGAGGAGACTTCCCGCCTGGTGAGCGGAGGCCAAGGGTGTGGGAACCAGATAAAGCAGGGTCGAGATACCCAGACCGACTTGGCAGAAGGCAAAAGCGACCACGCCGTGAACGCCTCTGCGGGCCGAGCGGCCCATCACGCGGTTCACCCTAGGGACCTTGCTGTAAGCCCACAGGGCCATAATGCTGGTGAAGGTAGTCATTGCCAGGATGCGGTGGTCGAGCTGGACCAAGGAGGGGTTCTCCAGCATGTTGCGCCACCAGAGATCCGAGCGATCCTCACGCTGGGAATAACGGGCATCCAAGAGTTCCTCCTTGGGAGGGGTGAGTCCATTGCCCATGTAAGGGAACTCATTATAAATGAGACCGGCGTCGAGACCGGCGACAAGGGCACCAGACATGGCGGTAACGAAGACCAGGAGAGCCACACCGGCCACAGAGCGACGGAAAACCGTCAGGTGCTTGGAATGGAGTTTCTTAAGTTGCTTCAGGCCCTTGTTCACATCGGAGGCGAGGCGTTGAGAGCGCAGGATAGCGAGACCATTCCAGAGCATAGCAGTGTAGCAGATGAAGGCGGCACCAAGATGCGCGGTGAGACGGTACTGGCTGACGCGGGGGTGGCTGCCAGGGGCGAAAAGGTCTTCCTTGAGTCCAGACGCAACCATCCACCAACCCAGAAATCCTTGGAAACCGATCAAGCCTGCGATACCAGCAAGGCGCAGAGCCATGGGCTTGCTGACCTTCCTTCTGGCGACGAAGTAGATAGCCGGGAGCACGAAGGAGAGACCAACAAAGCGGCCCCAGAGACGGTGAATCCATTCCATGTAGTAGATTGACTTGAATTCGGAGAGCGTCATGTTCGGGTTCAGAAGCTGAAATTCGGGGGAGGCACGGTATTTGGCGAACTCGGACTCCCAATCTTCGTCGTTCATGGGAGGGATGGATCCGGTGACGGGGCGCCATTCTGTGATACTCAAACTATATACCAAGTCAGTGTAAGCCTCCGCGATCAATTGTTCAAAAGACACATACCCCGATTCCGTTAATCTAGTAAGGCCCCCGAATACAACAATACCAAAGACACTAGCGGCACTAGCCAACAGCCAGTAGGCGACCACCTTGTGAGTGAGGATGGGAAAGAACCGTTTCGGTGCTTGCTCGGGTGCGGCGGCAGAGGCAGCAGATTGAGCCTGGGCGGGCAGGGCGGGCTGCGAGGAACTGGCAGGCTTGGGAGATTTGGCAGACTTGGAAGACTTGGAGGACTTGGAGGCATAGTTTCTCAGACTAGAGGCAAAAGCGCCCTTGGCTCTGGCGCGCAGAGAAATGGTATTGAGTGCACTGCGAGCATTGTCCGGCGCAAAGAACTGCTTGCGCAAAGTGGAAGTGGATGCATAACTCTGAGTCCTAATGAGACATGGGCGGCAGGTGAAGAATTCCTTTGACAATCGGGGGGCAAGACTCCGCAGCAAAGGTGCGGAAGGCCCCAGGAACGCCATGGTGACGGGTGCCAGGAACAATTGGGACCTGATATGAATTGGGTCGCGGTGTTGATGAAAGTTGGCGGCCGATCAAAAGATCTTCGGAAGGCGGAGGCGGAGCGGCCGAGAGGCACCGTCCAATCAGATACGAAGGATTTGTCGCGAGTCAATCAGCCCATAGTTCGCTACTTGTTGACAGTTACTGGGTATTTGGATGAGCAATTTTTGTTTTTGAAATTTCTGTTATTGCTGCTTCGATAGTAGCCAGTGTGCGATTTCTAAAGCTCAGAGGTAAATTGATTGTAGTAAAGTTCTGTAGAAAAGGTTACTTATCCAGTGCAAGCCTTCTGGCCTCAGGCACAAAGTCTTAGACCCTGTAAACTACACCGTAGTGGCTTTTCTACTCCATACATGGTCTCAATCCGAATTTGTCTATTTCTATCTTGATATAGCTTAAGCACAAGCTACAATCCACAATCTGACAACCAGCTCAGAGGAATCACCCTCCATATCTCACTAATGGCTATTAGAAAGCCATCTCCTGGCCCTTGACAGTAACAAAACGACCACCAACAGACTCTCTTGTTGCGCCATCGATCTAAGTAGATAGCATGTTAGCATCGCCATGGCAGATAAGAAGCGATTGACCACAAACCAGCTTGACTATCCCGTCCGCACATTCATCGACCTCACTAAACGCAGAGTCCAGTCCAATACTCCTGGCAGCGGCATTGCCCATAGCGGTCTTGACGAATCTGCACACAACCAAGTCAATAAAGCAACACAATACATCAATACCATCACCAACACCACCCCCTCGTATCATAACATAGTATCCCCAACTCACCCCGGATGAATCATAAAGCTCACGAAGCCTGGATTCTCCACATGAATCTTCCGCGTGATCCAATTCGCCGCCGCCTTACTGGCGCCGTACCCACCACCGGGGAAGTACTCCTCATCCAGTCCGGCAATGCTGCCCATAAAACTGCTAATAGTCACGAACTTCGGCTGCTGCTGCTGCTGCTGGGAGCTCTTGTCCAGGGGCTTGAACACCGCCTGAAAAAGACGAAGTATGCCGACGGTGTTGACGTCCAGGTGGCGCTGGACTTTGGACAGCGGGACGTCTTCCAGCCGGTAATCATCATCATAGTAGCCCGCATTGGCAACCACAACGTCGAGGTGGTGGATGTTCTCCGCCTCCTGGAGGTGTCGGACGGCTTCGTGGGCGTCAGTGTCCGATTGAGCGTCGATCTTGACTAGGATGAGGCGGGATCCGTCGCCGGCGGGGAGGGCGAGGAGAGTGTGCGCTGCAGCGGCGGAGGGATCGCGCACGGCGGCGATAACGGTGCAATTGGGGCGCGAGACGAGGATCCTGGCAAGGCCGTAGCCGATTCCTGTGTTATTCTCGGTTGCACCATGGTCAGTATACATACAGAGGAGTGTGTGCGTCGAGGTACAGTACCCCAACACCAGCTCTAAGCGGGGGCAAGGGGAGTCGTGGCTCTTGCTTGCAAACATACCTCGACTTGCTCCTGTGATCAGATAAACGGTCGATGTCATGGCCATAATGGGACTTGAAGATATGTTTCTTGCGTGACTTGGATCTCTTTATGTGGTATTAGTAGAAGAGAAGATGTGGGCTAAGAGCACGTCTTATGGAGGAATATGGTTATATACTTCAAAACCTCAGCCGACTAGCGTTCTTATGGTTAGACTGTTTTTAGATAAGCCACGGATACGCACAGAACTACACCATGCTCCATAATGGTAACTACACCATGCTCCATAATGGTACGCCTGAGTGAACTGTCTCGAGACCGTCAGCCCTCGCTGCGAGTTCGTCGAATCTCCCTGGAAAAAAACTTATTCGCAAATGGTCCTAAACGGATACGCTCAAATCTGGACTACATGCAAGAAAATCTTTGCTGAAATCGTTGAAGCACTAGTTCTTTTGTTTGTACAAGACATGCCATGACGCAAAGCGCGAACTCCTAAGGCCACCCAACACTCTTTTCTTAGAGGGTCATTCATACTGAATCATGACTAATTAAGGTCCCAAAAGAAAAGGGCACGGAAGCAAGCAAGCAGATCTTGGGAGAAGTGAAGTTCGGATAAATGTGCGATCACATCTGGAGTTGATGTTCATGTCTAATCTGGATTTGTTGAAACTAGGTATGTGCAAAGTTGACGAATGCAAAGTCAAAGGAAGAAGCCTACTCCCAAACGTTGGAGAACAGATCATCAGCCCCGCCAAACCCGCCAGCCGGTTTGGAGGAGTTGGACGTATTAGATGTGTTATTAGAGGTAACGGTAGTCGAAGGAATTGGTGCCGCACTGGTCCAACCACCGAAGTCCTCGTCAGCGGCGACTGTTGGGGTTGGCTTAGACACCGCAGCCGACGACGTCGGCGCTCCCCAGCCACCACCAAGATCATTGGCGGTTAGGGTGTCCGGGATCTTCATCATTGAAGATGCAGCAGATGGTGCCGGAGCAGGAGCAGGCGTACTCCAGGCATTGCCTCCCCACGGGTCAATGCTGGACGGCGGAAGCGCACTAGCAACGGAGGCCGTTGAGGGCGAGAAGGCCGGTCTCGGTGCTGGGGCAGGCGCAGGGGCGGGAGTAAGGTTGAACGCAGATTTCAATTCATTCTGTGAATTGGGAGCAGACACTGGAGGCGGGGGTGCAGCGGCCTTTGGTGGAGGGGAAGAGAAGCCGAGCAAATCATTTGAGAATGAGGACGACGGTGGGTTGGGCTTAGACGGAGCCGCGGAAGCGAAGCTAGTAAATCCCGAATCAAAGCCATTCGAAGAGAAAGACGCATTCCGGGACTGGGGCTTCGCTGGTGGCAGAGTAGGAGAAGTAAGGCTGTCGAACAAACTGCCGCCTCCCCCAGTACCGATGGAGAGAGTAGGTGAAGAGACCTTTGGAGCCGCTGGGGTAGACTTCATGCTGGCGAAGTTTGCAAGATTGGCGAATGGCGAAGGCTTCTCAGCCGGTTTGGCAGGCGGGGGAGAAGTGGTGGAGGGGATGCTCAGCCCGCTGAAAGCATCGGTCAAGCCACCGAAGTTGGATGATGACGCCGACTGGGGCGGCGGGGAAGTCAGATCTCCAAAGGAAGACGTGCGTTCATGCTGCATCGGAGCAGGCGTTGGCTTCGAATAAAGGGACAGGATAGATTGCTTCAGGTCCGGGCGAGACATTCCTGTTGAACCAGTAGGGGTTGATGCAGTGCTGGCCGGACGGCTGGTTGGCGCAGGCTGTGTGCTGCCGAAAAAGTCGAGTCCCAACAACGAATCTCCAGGACGGGAAGCAGGCTTAGCAGCGGGCGCAGACTGGGGCTGCTTGGGAGTCGATCTAGTTGCAGGCTCCGTTGTACTGGGCCGCGCGGGAGGAGAGATATCGTCACCGAAGAGGTCGACGGAAGCTTGAGGACGATGATGGACGGCAGGTTGACTGGCCGTCGCCACCCGCTGGGATGCGGAGCGCTCAAGTTTGGCCTTTTCCTGGACAACTGCGAGGGGCTGGTGAACACGGAAGTCAGTTATTGATCCAAAACGTGAGGTACTCTCCTAGTCCCTTACCACGTCGTCATCACCATCACTTAGGGTTGAGGGATCAGGCATTGGACCGTCCATGACCCATCTCTTCGACTCATACTTGGTTCTGATGAAGTTCTCAATCTTCCTGTTGTTGTCGTGGTGTTTGTCAGACACGATATCTCCGCGAGCGATGGAGGGGTTCCGCTTACGCTTCCGAGGGGACGTGGCCGGGCGCCAACTTGGCTTCCCAATATCTGTCGGTGACATTCGAGCCATCTGTAAGTCAATGCGATCTCAGAGAGAGCGGGAACACAAACTTGTTTGCCCTAGCATTGCCCCATTTCACAACACTCTGAAGTTGTTCATCCGTCCATGAATCTAGATCCACGGACTTGACCCGACTGATATGCGTGCCCATGCCCCGGTGAATTCCCGAGCAACGGATACAGATGAAAATACCCAGATTCCATGATGCCCACCGCGGGTCTATAGTCAATGTATATTAGCCTTGTCGAGCATTTTCAGATTTTCTTGCATTGAGTGCACAGTGCAGGGTGAAAGAGAAAAGGGCCGATGACCCCAAAAGTTCCGGAGGGTGGTCACATACGCTTGTTGCGCTTGCAATCAGCACATGTCTTATTTTGTTCGAGTTTCAGCAGGCTCTTGATAACCTGTTGGTTTTGAGCAGCCTGAGACGGCGTGGCGCGTCGAGACATCACAGCGGAAGTCGCGATATCAATCAAGAGGCCGGGGTAAAGTAACAGGACTCAATAAAGGAGTTCAAAGGGAAGTTGAATCACGGACGTCAATCGGCACCAAGTGGCGGGATGCGGTGGGCGTCGGCCTGAGGCATGAAGGCGGTGAGTACCCAATCTGGTCCGCTACACGTGCCAGATCAGCTTTCGATATTTCCGAGATCACATGACATGCATATCTATAGCTACATAGCTACAGTGAATTTGCAATTATCCAACGTGCTTTGTACACGGGCTCGTAGGTGTCTGCGAGTGTGCAATCCGACGAACCGCTGTACTCTGTTACTGAGACAAAAAAGGTTATACGTTCTCACAAGCACATGGTAACATAATTCTGGATATCCCACGGCTATTTCCCCACTTAGGAAGCGCATTGTAGTACAGTACAGTACATCATTGATTCTGTTGTAGATCTACGACAGTGTAGCAGTTTATCGGTGAAATATTAGGCGAGCTAGAAATGAAAGAAAAAAACAGAGAAGAGCAGTTGTATTCAAAAGCTATCGTGTTGGCTCGGCAAATTACATCAGAGTCCCTTATGCAGTCGATAAAGTCCCATTTTCCATGAGCTCCATGCCAGAGCTCTGACCAGCCCTCGAGACTGAAAGCCATCAACCAGCGGTTGCTCACAGACTCCAACCTACCCAAACTCTGGGGCTCGAGAGCAGTATACAATCACTCCAGACTACCATCACCCACGCATCGCGCCAACGGATATGTCTCGCCCAAGCAAGTCGTCACCACTCCCTTAACCCAGGACAGCGTCCCTCCCTCAAGGCTGAAGCTCGCGTCGTTGAAGGAATCCGCCTGATAATACTCGTATTGCCCGCTCCCCGGCTGGCCAGTGAAGACATAGCCTCTCTTCCGATGGGTCAATGGGTTGCTCACGATCGCTCCCCACTTGTTGGCAGGGATGGTCATGGTGACGGTGCCAGTCACCGTACTAGTTGTCGTGTCCTGGTAGCTGATGCTGGTGGACGCAGACAGGAAGTCCTTGACGAGAGTGAAGTCGGCGGACGCGCCTGTGGTGATGCTATTGGCGATCGACTGGCCAGCCTGGATGGCCACCGTGGCGGTGGCCTGGTTGGCGTGCACGATGGTCGACATGGCCACATCCCATCCGAGGAAGTCGAGATCAGGGAGCGGAATGATGAGCTCCGTGCCGGATCCGCGCTTCGTGATGTTATGTGGGGAGGCATTTATTTCGATCAGCCGTGGGAAGGCGCTATCGGTTGCCTCCGGAGAAAGGAAGGTGAGGCCTTGCAGGTGCGAGGCCAACTCAGCCTTCTTGACAGTTGTTGTGGTGCCATTGCTCAGGAATATGACCGCCTCGTCGGGGCCACAGACAGCGGGCTGGGAGGGAATGGCCGTCGCAAGACATAGCGCTGCAAAAAAAAGTGGAAAGTGAGGAAGAGCCTTCATGATTGATTGGAGTTATATGCGAAAGGGGAAAAAACCATGAAAGTGATAGGCAGTGCAATCTTGAATGAGCTGTATCTTTGAACAATGAAGACTGGCAGGTATTTATATGCACGCATTGTGTACACAGGTAGTAGCTATCACGTTTGTCAAATCTCATAGAAACCATACACTGGGCTCTACAGAATGTGGTCCTTACCGATCATCAGAGTTAAAGGACTCCGTTGGAGTGCCGCTGGGAACGATCAGCACGAGGTCAATCCTCCGAGAAAGGGCCGAAGGAATCAGGGATCGACAGGCGTCGGATGCAAGAGATAGATCGAGTATTCCATCAGACGCTGCATGATGCTGGACTACACGAACCGCTCCCGGGCCCACTCACGGAACCTTAATAGATGAGTTTGTTTCTCCGCCATTTCAACGGTCCCGGAAATATCGGGTGCAATTATTCGTCCGATGCTGCAGCCAAGTGATCGTCGGTTTTGGACTTAGGCTGAGACAGGAGATGCATGTTTATACATAGTCCTCAGGCCCAGATTAGGCGGCAGGAAGGTGAGACCTGATCTATCAGCGAGGAAGAACGAGTCCGACTCTCCCCATTAGCTGTCACAAGAACATTTTCAAGGATATTGTGATCATCACCGTCGATAGATAGAAGGACCTTGGCAAGTAGTCTCGACATCGAGAAATGTGCTCTAACGAGTGGTTGCAACTCAATTTGCGGAAGAACATCGGAAAATTCGACCATGGCAAAGGATCGTTTGATGCGAACTCTGATGACCTTCAGTGATTGCTAGGGTTGTGGAGGCGACAGAATAACCATATATTGAAGGACGTCCTATTCTCCTATACGACAGTGGCAGAGCGCAACGCGGAAATCACCTAATATCTATCAGTCTCTCTGCCTTGCATATCCACCAACTTGCACAAACCAACGGAACAATGAAGCAATTTATGACTCTGATTGTGGCTATCATGGCCACAGGGTAAGACCAGCCAATTCCCTCTTAGACTTCCCAACACTCCATCACTAATTGTCGGCAAGAGCCGCGGCCGACCTCCACTACACGGGGCTTTGCTACGATTCTCCCGGCCAGGATGTGGTAAGTCGAGCTTCACCATCTCCTCCAACTAGGAACTTCTGAATATTCTGACCCGGAATGAACAAACCATAGAAAGTATTCAACAAAGCCGCCACAGAGAAGGCCTGCACATATTACAAGAACCGTAATACCGGCAGCAAGCAATGGGACCAGTGCCCGGACTGCACGCTCGAAAACGACCAAAGCCTGCTCTACTACTGCAAGTCCGAGGGTCAACACATCGGGGGTGATGAGTTGTCCTATTACTGTGGTCTCGCCGGAGCAGCCGGTAGTCTAGCCTGGTAAAGGGTTGATGGAACCCCTCCGAGTTGTTGGTTTATACAGTACACAAGCCGAATCAGGTTGTACATGATTGCGATATATTGTAATAGTATCATCATCTTAAAACTGTAATAGTGTCAGAACATCCCAAAAGAAAAATTTCATCCTCCCCTGAGACATTCCCAAACCAATGCCCCCAGACAGCCAAAGCTCTCACCAAAACTCCCTCACCTCCCATGATGATGTAGTTATTTTCCCTCTTTATCCTCCGCAAACCTCAAACTCACACTGTTCACACAATGCCTCTCATCCGTGGGCGTCGGATACCCCTCGCCCTTGAACACATGGCCCAGATGCCCACCGCAGTTGCTACACACGATCTCCGTGCGCTGCATCCCAAACGAACTGTCGGTATGTCTCGTCACGGCCCCCGGCAGGGAATCAAAGTACGCGGGCCATCCGCACCCGGACTTGAACTTGTGGGTCGCCTTGTAGAGGGGCGCATCGCACCCCGCGCAGTGGTAGATCCCCTGCGCCGCGAAGTGCTGGTCGTATTCGCCCGTGCCGGGCCGTTCGGTGCCCTTTTCGCGGAGGATGCGGAATTGTTCTTGATGCAGAAAAAAAAGTCAGTGTTGTTTTGGGAGGGGCAGAAGAGAGATTGTTTGGTTTGGGGACACTGGAGGGGACAGGCAGTTGAATAATCACCTGGGCTGAGGACGGCGCGCCATGCGTCGTCACTGCGCTGATCGGGGTAGGACATGCTGCCGCTGTTTTCGGATTTGCTGCTGGTTGTGAAGAAGGAGCTGAGGAAGGGGATTGCCGGGGCGGCTTGGAGGGTTCGGGGGCTAGAAATGGGGAAGGGGAATAATCGGAAAGAGGAAGAAGATGAAGGTGGAGGGTGGGAGCGGAGGGGTAGATTGAAGGTGCGGAGAAGTGTGGCCAAGCGCTGGAATCGCATCAGGAGATGGTGGAATGATGCAACGGCAGAAAGCGAGTCAATGGATCTTCTGTTCTTTTCTTTCTTCGTCGATAAAATCTTTAACAAAAACAAGAACGAATGTCTGGGGAAGATGGAGGAAGACGATGTGAGGTCTAATCCATCTTATCGATCTTCTATGCCGATGTTCGCCGCCGTCTCCAATTTACCGCAGCTTTTACGTCATCCGCACTGTGGAGTTATCGGTCAATATGACATACTCATAAAACGAGCATGGTACTCTTATATAATCGCATTTTATTATACAGGCGATTGCCAGACTGTCGTATGTTCTATTTCAAGCTTATATCTTCATCTAACCAGATTCTAAGTCGAAACACCTGAAATTTCTCCCATAACGCCTTCCGTGCGGTAGATAGATCCAAGCGCCAATAGATGAACAACCCCAGGGTATCTTCGCAAGAACCAAAACATTGCTGCACCAGACAAGAATCTATCAACGTTGTTTCATGACACCAACGACCGTAAGAGAGCCCTCGCCTACTTCCACCCTCCATCCGTCTCGCACCAGCATCTTGCCAACGGCCGGACCTAAGCGGGATGTGCCATCGTGGCTGTGACGGCCCTTTCCGGTGACGATGTGGAAGCCTCCCTGAGCCCTCTCATAACTCGATCCTCCCATGAGCTTGGTGTCACCCAACGATTCCCACCAAGCAGAGACTCGTTCGCGGCTGATGCGGACGGCATCCTGCACAGACACTCCGTGGAGGTCAAGCCTGTTTGATGTAGACTGTCGGTCAACGAGAGCGTCCGCTGCAGCCGCGGCATTGCGCTTCGCCAATTCCAGATGGTCTCGGCCAACAGAGGAATAGTACGCAGCAGCCCCTCCCATCAATCGATCAGACTTTCCACGTCTATATGCCGTTGACGCCTTGGAAAATGCCTCCGCTCCCGCCGAAAAATGAACGTGTGCTGCACTTTTCACATTTTCCAGATTATGGGCGAAGCGCGGTCCGGGGTTTCGGGGTTCAGCCACTTCATCCTCGTTATCCAGGGGAGGAAGGGTTGATGTGATTTTGATCAGTTCAGACAAGGGGGCCCGTGACGTTTCAGGAACAGTCAGCATGACATCAGCTAGCTCTTTGGCTGCAGAGGGTATTTGCCGTGTAATGATGAGTAGTCCCGCAAATGTATCAGATGTAATCGTAGGGAACTGTTGTGTTAGTTCAGACACCTGGGCAGCCAGCAGCTCATCAATCTCGAGGCAATCCTTGGCTTCAGGAGCATATGTTTTCGCCAGTGCCTGTATCGTGGTTGGCAACGAAGCCCCGTTGGCATGGTATGCCGACCGGATCCTTTCTTTGGGGAGGACCGCCGATGTAAGCGAGTATATGAACTCGACCTCCTTCTCCGCAGTTGCCCATATATTTGAGGTGGTGGAACTCATTGACAGAGGTTCGCCGCAATTCGAGGCCCGAGCGTATTGGTCCCGTGCAATGGCCTTCCCCTTCGGTTTACGCCTGCGACCTTTTTTTCTGACGGCTTCGGCACCCTGAAACCCATCCACGCCCTTTGGAACTGCGACTGTGATGCCATCCTCATCAGGGATCTGCTCATCAAAGAAGACATAGTTTAATAGCTCGTCCATGGCGCGATCGACATCACCACCGGCCTTCTGGAGTGTGTGCTTTATGGTAAAGCGATCTGTGGACCGGAACATCTCCGACAGATAGGCGATTTTGTCCTCATCAGTCGCGCCGTGAAGCGAAAGCGTTCCATCCGAGCGGACAATATACGACACATGACTCTTTCGCCCATTAGCGCTAGGGTCGTCCAGATTGAAACCAGACATGCCGGAAGTCAAGCTGGTAAGATCGGTCTCGCGCGAGGGCATCGTATCGGTGTGCGATGGCGAGCGCTCGCACGCCCCATCCATGTCAAAGCCGTTACCATCAGGACTCAATCCGCTGGTCCCAGAGGGATCAAACGGCAGATCCTCCTGCTCCCAAGCGGACAGTCTAAGTGCGTCTAATATCCCACGAAGTTGTTCCACTTGTGTTTGATCCGTTAGATCAAAATCCGATGCAATCGCGGTGAGTAGAGCTGGGTCCAAGGGAGGGCAGTATGCCTTTTCAAGCTCCTGGGCAACCAGTCAGCCATTAGCTATAAATCGTCGATAACCACAAACGAAGACGTGGAGTTAACGAGTGGATATGCATCTCCGCGGTAAAATTACCTGTAGAGGGCTATCGCTTTGGTCTGCCATGTTTGCGGATTTTCAGACACGAGCAGGTTCTTGTTATTTCCTTTCAATACATTTGTCTAAGTTCACAAACACGATCTGCTGGTAATCAGTTCACGAATTAAGAAGCGACAGTGTGTTGAGGGGCACCGAAAAGAAGGATGACTAAATCAAATGTTTGACATCATCTGGTCCTTCCGCCCTCGTTGCTGTTGTGTTATCGTGGATCACGTGCTTATCAGCCGAGGCTATCGAATGATAACCAAAAGCGGAAATGCACAGATCACCCGCCGTCCGTCTATGGGACTACCAGCAAGCACACACCAGCCCATCAGAGCTAATCAGACATACAATGCAATATAAAAGTGCGTATAGTAGCTAATAAGTTCTTAGAAGCAACAATAGAACGGCAGAAGAATTTCCCGAACAGTATGTGCAATATAAAAGCCTCCGAGTGGAGAAATGTGGTATAGTCTAATTATCGTTATAGCGTATGTTTATCGGCTTATTTATACTTGGCCATGAACTCGGAGTGGAACTTCACAATCCGCTGGGCCCAGTCTGTTCCAGGAGCCAAGAATGTCGTGCGGAAGTGCAGCGTGTTCTCCTTCTGTCCGAACCCGGAACCTGGAACCACACAGATACCGGTGGCATCAAGGAGCTGCAGGCAGTAGAACTCGTCTGCAGCCCGCTTCTCTGCAGCGGCAACCTCGATGGCCTTAGGCGGGAGGTTGATAGTGGGGAAAAGGTACATGGCACCCTATCGATAAGTTAGAAGGGTTTCGTGATCTGCGGGTATATGGGCCGGAGCTTACCTGGGGTTCTTGACACTCGACTCCCTCCATCTTCTGGAAGGCTTCGTAGAGGGCCATAGCACGGCTTCTCAGTCCATCCTTGATGCCGTTGTATTCCTTCTGGTACAGCTCGTAGCTAGGCTCTTGCTCCGTGGGAGGGTTCACCATCAACTCGACCAGGCACTGACCAATGACAGGCGGGCATAGCATGATGCTGACATACTTGTAAATCTGGGCTGCGACCTCGGGGTCGAAACCCACGAGCTCGAAGTAGCCACCGCGATGACCGCACTCGCCAACCATGCCCTTAGAGACACTGTGCAGGGAGACCAGCTCCACGTTGTCATACTTGCCGGGCACCTCCTGCTGCAGCTGACGGAGTCTCTTCTTGAAGGAGATGAACTCGCCAGTGAAAACATTGGTCTGGTATACCTCGTCGGCAATGACCACTAGTCTCTCCTCAGCTGCAACGTCAAGAACGCTCTTGATGTCTTCGGCACTGAGAGAAGCGCCGGTGGGGTTACCCGGGTTGATAACAACGATAGCACGAACATCAGTGCCAGCGGCCTTGGCCTTTGACAGGTTCTCCTTGATCGCATTCACGTCGGTACCCCAAGCCTTTTGCTCATCGAGGAGGTAAGGAACACACTGCGCATCCAGCAGAGACAGAGTCGCCGTGTACAGGGGGTATTGAGGGATGGGGACAAGGACTCCGGCGGCGGGGCCATCACAGATAATGTTGAGGATCGTGCTTACACCCGATGAAGCACCAGCGGTCAAGTAGAGATCCTGGGGGTTAGCAGGAAATCCATCACGCTGCTCGATGAACTTGGCCACACTGTCCCGAATGACCGGTGCACCTTGGCTGTGACTGTAGGCACCAACGCTCTGAACATCCGCGAGCAAAACCTTGGCCCGGTCAATAACATCCTGTGGGTATCCAAAGTAGGTTCGGAGAAGTTCCGGGTTTTCCAGCAACACGGGGTTCTCAAGAAGACTCAGGACTTGACGGAAGAAGGTGATGGGCTTCTGGTCCAGCTGTTGCGGGTTACCGATGTTGGCGAAGATAACGCTGTCGAACGGCAATGACTTATCCCCCTGAGCCAATCTCACGCGGTATTCCTCTGCCTTGGTAGCAATCTCACCGCGAACGGCATATTTGGCAGCCTTGACGTGGGGGTTGATGTTGTCCAAGGTCAAACGACGGGAGGAGACGGCGGTGAGAGTGCGTCTGGTGGTATGCGCCAATGTCGTTTGAGTCTGCATGGTCGAGTCTGTAATGTAAGGGAGGGAGTGATTAGCAATGATGGGTTGGGAGTTGGGGCAAGATCGTAACAAAGTGATTCATCCGCCAGGGATGAAACTGTCACCCATTTGTATCCGGGGCGGGAGATGAGACAACCCCAGTACATGCACTACCGAGTCATAGATGTCACGGGATGCGCGAGACGAGGGCGACTGACAAGACCCGAAGATCAATCGGGGAGGGATGGGAGGGCGTGTGAGGGGTTAGGTACGGTATATCGCGCAGGGTAGTCAGTGGTCACCGCCGAACATGTCCAATAATAGGGACCGCGGGCATAACCACTTAAGGCCCGAACGGAAAGCCAATACAACAACCACCAATAACGGGCTCATGAAAGACCAAGAGAAATCGACTCACCCGGGGAGACTCTGGGGATTCCCGCGGCTAGGCTTACCCGCGAGGAGAAAAGGCGCGGGGCCTGTTGATGGCACGACAGCCATGCACCACTACTCGGCCGGGAAACTGAGCATCGCAGCGGAGTTGCCCGCAGGTGCGAGGCAAGTTTAAATTGCCAGCTCATGATCAGATCTCAATTTGCTCGATTCAACACTGAATTTAACCAATGGGACTGTGAAGGCACCTCTCCACCAACCGTTCGGGTGGACTCGTAAGGGGCCAAAGAAAGAGTCAAGACCTAGTCTAGGACTAGAAGAAGGTGCACTGCGGTGACTGACGGTTGACTGAATCACAACAATAACTCGGGATTCAAGACCCCAAGCAAGAAAAAAAACGCGGGAAATCCCCTTGGGCGGTGAGAGTCTCGGACTCCATGATTAGATGAGTCAGCTGCCTTATCTTAGCTCTCTTGATCTCCACTCTCTGATAGGAATAAACAGATAGGGAATCCAAAACATTCATTGAGATGTGATGAAGGGTGGTTGAAAGGTCTGATCTACCGGTGGTTTTTGATGGAAGAGGAGAAGTGTAAGAGGACAAATACAATACCCCAGGTACTAGACATTAGTGTCACGCTTGTGACATCAGGGACACCCTCGCTCCCTCTTGTTCCACCGACCAACAGCGAATCCCTGGTCAAGAATCAATTCCATGGCAACTCATCATCCCACACTTGCGCCGGAGCTTCCCGACCGTCGGCAATTTTCCCGAGACAAGAACAGGATAGGGCAGAAAGAGAACTGACTGTTTGTCAATGACTTTAACTGCATGTATGCTCTCATGATTGAGTTGCCATTTCTCCCTTCGAGAAAGCAATCTCGTCAACTTGTCTCAGATCCGCCCCTGGACCCATTAGGGCCGGTCCCTTCTGGTCCCTGTTCGAGCTTAGAGAGATGGATGGATGGATAGGCAATTATCCCAGTCTGCCGACACAGTCATGGTGGATACTAGTACCAAAAGCCATCTCTTACAACCTACCATGTGGACCCTTGAAAGCCACACGGACTATTTATTGACTGCACAACTACGAGCAAAATCTCACCACTGTCTCCGGCCGCCGCTTAACAACGGTTTGCCGATCAATGTTCGAGGTCATTTTCTCTCGCGTCATTAGAATTATGATACAGCAGCCTCGCTTGTTTTGGCTCTAACATGGCTGGATCTAACATGGCTGGATGGTAAAGCTGGGTCAAGTTGGTAAAAGAGATGATATAGATAAATCACTGGAACCTCTCATCTACATAATCATGAACCACATGGCGATTGACAAAGCCATATCTACGATTTAGCTGCGTTCACTACCCCTCAAACGCACGGCCTGGCCATACTTCTGCAGCTTCGTGATCAGGGCATCACCGTGCTTGACCACATCCGCGTACTGTTTGTTCTTGTCATCCGGTCGGTTCGTTTCAATGATACCATTGACCCGGTCAATGGTGCATGCGATGCGGTTGCTGGCGATGAACTTGGCAAGATCCCTGCAATCGCTGGTTAGCGCTGCTTACCCGAGCACAATAGATAAGATACTCACCGATCCAAGAAGTCTACCGTCACACCGAAGTCGCTCGCCATGCTGTTCAGCCCAACAACGCGATAGCTTTGAAGAAGCTGTTGGTATGCACGCAGTCTCATTTCCCTCACAAACCAGGCGCGGTGTTCGTAGAGGTAACGATCCTGAGTAAGGAAGTTGTCTTCCACCGCCGCCAGAGACACGAAGAAGGACCGGTAGTTGCCGGTGTAAAGACTGTCAACCAGGTGAGCAAGAGGCGTGAAGTCGACAGGGGTTTCCGCCTCCGCTTGGACACCAGAGCCGCCACCCAAGGCAGTCAGGTTGACTGCGGTCGTGGCGGTACCCGGGGTGACCCGCGAAACTGTAGCGTCCTTCATCTCTTCATCTTGAGCGCCGGGCCCGGCTGATGTTTCACCGGTCAGAGCGGCCAATCGATCTTCACCAGATCCAAGGATAGCCTTGATCTCGGGTGCGTCCACAACCTTAGCCTTGAAGTCGACTCGTTTCAGTGAATGAGAGCCAGCTAAGACTGAGTAAATGACTAAAGCAGAGTAACTGCAGAGTTCATAGCTGGTGAAAGTGGACAGACTGTCAAGCAGAAGAGGCGCAGCTTCGTTGTAGGAACGGATGGTGAGTAGGTGTAGACCCTTGTATGCCTTCAAACGATTCCGCCGATCCCAGTCACCACCGCTCTCAATGAGGGTGTTAGCTCTTTCGATGTTCTTCTTAACAGACAAGGCATCTCCGAAGAAGAGGCCGATGCGGATCATAGCGAGCATCAAATCAATCTTGGTACCAAGGAATGTCGTTTTCTCGAGGAGGGTTTCATGAGACTCGATAGCTTTGTCCTAAATGCTTTTGCATCAGCCTTGTGACTTGGAGATGGTAATGAAGACCCTGGAGCTTGAGTAACACACCTTATCTCCCACCCGTGCCCAGAATTCAGCACGTTTACCCCGTGCGGCGAGCACCTCAGTCTCTCCGGCTGCTTCTTCTGCCTCATCCTCCTCTTTCTGGAAACCCTCCAGCTCTTTCCGGTTATCTTCAACCAACGACTGGTACAGGGATTCGTCCCATGGGAAGTCGATTTTCTGGGATGACTTCCGGGAGGCAAGCAGGTTCGACGTAATCGCGGACTTGGCTGAGTGCTGCGCAACTCCCTCGCCAGAGTTATTCAGGATACCTTCAACGGGATGAGCAAGATGGCGGTAGAATGGGGCCATTTTTCGCTCTGTGATGGCATCTTGAATTTTCTTTAGTGATGTCTGTCGCACCGTTTGGGGGCATGCTGGGTTGGAGATGTTGAAGACATGTTGGGCGAGAACGAGATCGGGGTACTTTATGTACTGCGGATCGGACCCCATATTGGCGGTAAAGATATGAGCAAGAAACCGGAGATGATTTAGTGGGGTAGTACACTGTTGAGAGAGCTAGATAGAAGAGGCTGAATGTTCGTTGTCCAAGGTATCTGTTGACAGGATGATGAACGGAGGCGGATACATCACCGATGGACCGTAGCTGACCCGAGCTCAGCTGGAGAAATTATTCTTCCGGTACCGATACGGGCTCTCCACCTTCATACCGGAGAAATCGAATTCTGGGTTAATTACTACTATATACAGTACTTTGATTAAATCCAATAGACATGCTTTCATTCGATGCAATACTGGCGATCACTGACTTTTGAAGTCTTACAGGGCTCAGAAAGCTATATCAGATTGACAACTTACCTCGAATCACTTTCTCTTTTCCTTGCAAGGCGAATAAGAAAACGGGGCTCAAATCACGGTACAATAACACAGTATTGATAAAGAGTATGAACAGTGAGCACAACCCCAGCTAGTAGTCAATGGTACCCGTATTGAACAGTCCATGGTTTTTCTCGTGACTCCTGATTATTCTGGTGCTATTTGTTCACCACTGCATCTCCATGAGTCCCAAGATCCTAATTACTGGCCATGGCAAATACTATGTGTTGTCCAGCATTGGGGTCTGCAGTACGCAATATATATATGATCCAGGGCCTTGGTGAAGAATATTTCTCGTGCCCACCTAGTCTTATTGATCATTGATCTCAAGCCTGCATCGGGAAGAATAGAAGAGTTATTCAACCGACTCTGTAGCCTCAATCTCAGCTCTTAAGCTACTACATCCATACTGATGTTCTACTAATCTACTAGTGTAGTTCATATAGGCTTATCGGTGCTTATAGCTTATTGCAGCCACCAATTTGTGGTTGGTCTTCTTGCCAATATACTTGCATAATCGCAGGGCTTTCGTAGATGAACTAACGCTAGTTGTACCTGAGGCAGGTGAGCCGGTGAAGGAGGCCCTATAAGTACAATCACATGGGAAACAGGCTATAGAACCTAGCTAGTACTCAACGATGGGCCACCGGAATTCTCGAATACAACATGCGATTCGATAGGATTCGACAAGACGCAGGTGGAGCGTCTTCAACTTTCCATTTTGGTTCAGTTGGGCGGCTGAAGACGGGGAAGTTGAAGGGAGGCTTGAAGTGCAACCCCACTCTTCCACCGCTTGACCCGCGGTAATCAAGCGCTAAGGCCCGCTAAGGAGGAGGGGCCATTCGGAGTACATCCTGGCGATTTCGCTCAAGGTTCGAGCAACCTGGATGGATGGTGGCACTGGAATAGCATGGATCTGGTAGGAATCCGGATCTCTGTGGCCTTGATGTGCCCTCATCACGAGCGTCTTTTGCTTCCTCGCCTGTAGAAAGTTTTTTCCCCCTCCTTTTGCCTTCCTCTCACACCTTGTCTTCGCATCCGTCCTTGCTATCTTGTTTTTTTTTACCCAATTTGAGGGGCCTCTATACTATATTTGAGAATCGACCTTTCGAACTTGCACGTGCTCACTTTTCCTCCTTGCATCGACTTGTTCTTCAACGGATAGTTGCACCACGCCCTCAACTGCCCCTTGCTTACTTCAAACATCCCTTTCTGTACGTGACCGTTTTCCTGCAACAACAACAGAATGTCAGACGACAAAGAAAAAGGAACCGTAGAGTCGAAGACGGATATCGAGGCAGATGTCCAGGCACCGGTCGATACAGTCTCAGGCTCTCGTGAGGCACCTTTGGATGCAAATCCGGAAGGCAAGAGTCGTTGGGAGCGCAGTTGGCCCACTATTGCTTGTGGTGCTGGGCTTTTTTCTGATGGATATCTCAATGGTGTATGTGGACTCTTGACCTTGATGCATGATTCTTTGCCTCCATCGGCTTGATGCTCGGATTGGTTTTGCTGACCACGTCTCCAGATAATCGGACCTGTCAACACCATACTCAAGAGACTTTATCCGACTGAATATGCCAACTCGCCCGCAAGCCAGAACGTTTCATCGATCACTTTTGCGGGAACAGTGGTTGGCATGCTGATATTTGGATACACAAGTGATCATTGGTCACGTAAATGGTCGTTGATGATATCCACTATCATTCTGTTCATCTTCGCTGCTTTATGTGCTGGTGCATACGGCTATAACAACAGTCACTATGGCCTGTTTGCCGCATTGACAGCCTACCGTTTTTTCTTGGGAATAGGAATCGGTGGGGAATATCCAGCAGGAAGTGTGGCCTGCGCCGAGAACACCGGGGAACTGAAGCAAGGTCATCGAAACCGATGGTTTGTTATGTTTACCAATTTTCAGATTGACTTTGCATATGTCATTTCTGCATTGGTTTCCATGATATTGGTTCTGATTTTCACTGAGGATCACCTACGCGCAGTGTGGCGTGTTGGGTTGGGATTGGGTGTAATTCCCCCTCTTAGTCTGATGTATTTGCGATTGAAGCTTGAAGAGCCTGAAGAGTTCGACCGAGAGCGCATGCACACTTTCCCTTTATGGCTAATTGTGAAGTGAGTACTACTTTTATCATTCTATTATGTTGTCCCATATCTCCTCTCCAGCGGTCTTTCACTAATCACCGCAAGCCGCATACGCGTTGACTAATTCCTCCACAGATTCTACTGGAAGCGTTTAGTCAGTTCCCTTCTTCTTTCTATGAGGTAAAAGGTGTATGGCTAACCGCAGCAAGGCTGTGCTCTCCCTCATCTGGTTCCTGTATGACTTCTCTTCCTATTCATTCAGCATATACTCCTCAGACTGGTTAGCCATTATCCTAGGGGATAGTGCTCCCCTTTGGAAGAGCTTCGGTTGGACTACTTTGACCTACACATTCTACATCCCAGGATCCTTTCTTGGTAGTCTGTCCAGTGACTGGATTGGGCCCCGCAATACTTTGGCTATTGGCGTACTTTTCCAGGGTATCGTTGGATTCATCATGTCCGGCTGCTATGAGTATCTTTCGACCCCAAAGAATGTGGCGGCATTTGTCGTGGTCTTCGGGTAAGGCGATTGGACTACTAGAGTTTCTGTACATTCACTGACGTGGCCCACTAGAATCTTTTCCAGCCTTGGGGAATTCGGTCCCGGCGATAACATCGGCCTTTGTTGTGCGAAAAGCAGCGCAACCGCCGTCAGAGGTCAATTCTATGCCATCGCTGCTGCTTTCGGAAAGATCGGTGCTTTTGTGGGCACTTATGTGATTCCAATCATACAGAAAAACGCCCCAAACCCAGTCCGCAGCGGGCAGGATCCGTTCTTCGTCTCGAGCTCCCTGTGCATCTTCAGCGCGGCGTTGGCATACTTCCTTTTGCCACAGATTGGCCAGGTATGTGATCACTGCTGGGTCACTTTTATCTTGATAATACTGGGTTAGGTTCTTGTGCTAACCTCATTTTGCTTTCGCTAGGACACAATCACCGAAGAGGATGCTAAATTCCGTGCTTATCTCGAGTCTCATGGATATGACACAAGCCTGATGGGGACCCATGAGAGGCCTGAGGAGCAGTAAGCTACATTTTTGACCCTGCACTGACCTTTCAACGCGTATGGTGGGCGCACTATCACCCAGCAATAACCTTGCCCACTGAGTGCCATTCATCCCTATGCTTGCACAATATTTGCAGCCCATTTGACGCCCTTTGCGACATTTAGTCTTGATGAGCCCAAGCGACGAATGCAGCGAGCCGATCCACACCTAAAAAACTTAGAGAGCGAACCCAAGCAACAGATTGAGCGAACGATGCCCAGAAGCGCGAAATGGTAGATGACATTTGCTGCGGTCACCGCAACAACATGGCTCAGACCGATGATTCATGTATTTATGGATACAAACCTAATGACCATCATGTCCTCCATGTAGTATATAAAGGATTGCTGACTAATAATCAAACAATGGCAACCGGACGAGCTCTTATACTTCTTTAGGCCGTTCAGGTGAGGTCTGGCCCATAGCTGGGTGGTAGTTATAGTTTATGCTGTATAGCAAAAGTCACCCCGCAATGAAGCTGATCGTTGAAAGTGGTCAGTAATCCAGAGAGCTGTGGAGATTACAGAGTCATGCCGTTATGGCCTTTGGGGGGCAAAAATGATGTGAGATGAGAAGCCGACAAAAGAGTCTCGTGACCAGAGCACACATGACGAGTCGGTGGTCAAATATTGGTCTACTACCGTTTTGTTATCAGAAGCACCGAGCAACCGAGGTTTGTTGAGTGGGCGGGCAGAGCACAAGACGAACCCTTCCTTCTCTCCCGCCCGTCGATCCCCGGTCATTTACCGACCCCAGCATCCATCATTCATCCCACCCTCTCTTCCCCATCGCTTCTTTCCCAGAACTTATTCTAGTCCTCTCCCCTCTCCCCTCTTCCCCATCTACTTGTTGCTTCTCCGTGTGACGTGTAACATCGAACCTCAGATCCTCCGTCCTTCATCTATCAGCTGGCCTGTCCTCTTTCACATACCGCATATCTCTCCACGAACTGACAGCTGCCGGAATCCATCTCCCGCTATCGGCCGACATCCTCCTCCTAATCTCAACGCACAGAGATTCCCATCTTGAAAATGGTTGCTGACGCCCTGGTCTATCACCCTGCTGTGGCGCATTATCTGCGCTTTGTTGCGACGACTGGTATGTGAGATGCGTCCATTGTATAGTGCTCAGACATGTTTCTATCGCGTGAAGCTCGGAATTGGGGAGCCGCAAGTTCCCGACCTCGCTTCCCCATCATCCGTTGACTTGAGCATTCATGCTACCCTGGTCTAGCGCGTGTCTGTTTTTCTGATTCTAACCATTTTTTTGAATCACAGTTGGTCGCGATAAGATCCTCCGCACCCTGCAATACTTCTCTCGTTTCTATGCTTGGTACTTGTACCGCACCAACCGCCCGCAGTCTGCCATCGATCCCTATAATGCTATCAAGAAGCAGTTCGGAACCACGCGTAAGATCCTCAGAATCGGAAAGTTTGTTGAACACTTGAAGGCTGCCGCGCTGGCCTCCGACAACAAGAACCCGATCGACCCAGTACTCCGCTACCTTGCTGTTGGTCGGCAGCTTGGTTATGCTGGGTACTTGTCTCTTGATACCATCACGGTTGTGGACGCGATTGGTGTGCGCAAACTTGCTTCCGTGAAACGACTGCAGGACTCGGCCTATCGCTCGTGGATGGCAGGACTGGCGTGCAGCGCTGTTGCTGGTTTGTATACCCTCTTCCGGCTGAGGGAAAAGGCGAAGACCCTTGATCTTAAGGAGGGTGAGGGTGTTGTGGAGGCGAAGAAGCTTGAAAAGTATGTGAATCCGTAACGAGACTGTCTGGTCGGGTTTTAAATTGAACGCTAACATCTTTGTCTAGGGAACGCTCCACGGCTCGTATTCAGCTGATCTCCGACCTGTGCGACTTGACTGTTCCTGTGTCTGCTCTTGGTCTTGCTGCACTTGATGATGGTCTCGTTGGTATTGCAGGAACGGTCAGCAGTTTGATTGGTGTCTGGTCGCAATGGCGAAAGACTGCTTAGACAACGGATGCTAAGTTCTCCCCGCAAAGGCTTCAAGTAAGCGTGGAATTTGAGGTTAGCCGCTCAACATCACCGAATCGTCTTCCCTCTTCCAAGTTTACTTGTCACCGAAAACGCGTGCTGAGTAAAGGCGTGAAGCCAGGGAGATTTATTATTCATCTTCGAACATAGGAAAGCCTGGGTTTTGTGCACTGGAGTATTCCCAGTTGAGATTCTGCCCTGCAACGCAGGCTTCTGTTATTACCATATGTGTAGCCTAAGATTTATCCCCCTTTCTTGCGGTCAAATGAAGCTTTGAACCGTGAAGCCACAAGAGTCCTCCGATTCTGCGATTCTGCGATTCTGCGATCGAAAGAGATCGTGTACATATTGTCCTTTCCTGTTTAATGTGTATATATTATAAATATCCCGACTTGTCATTGGATCACCGAATATGGTGAAAATACCGCTGTGGTCCAGAGTTGCAGTCCGCAAGGTGCTCGCGGGGTTGCGGCTACTTGCAGCCAGTGACTCCTGACTTGGTTCTCGAAACCATCTTCTTATCATCGACCATGTCAAACCCGACAATGGCTGAAATTGCACGAGACTCCCGGCAGGCGTCGCTTTGGCTGGAGCCTGGATGCTAGATGTGCAATCTGTCAGAAACATGAGTGGCTTTTATCGGGATCTGCGCCAGGACGCCCACGGGGTGTCTTATCCAGACAATCTATGTCTTTTGATGACACTAACCCAGACGAGAGTCAGCCAAAGCTCTTTAAAGGACGATGCTCAACGTGCAAGTGGGCTATTGGACAAGGAGAGTGATATATTGGACGCCAAAACAATATCTCCAAAGCATGTCCCGCTATCGCAAGGCCTTGTTGTCATCATCGAGTTGTCCTAAGTTCGTTATTTGTCAATCAGTAAGACATGGACCTGAGACGCAAACTGTCATTCTCATGCAGGCATACTTACGCAATCTGGTTTAGATTCTCCCTTGACTCCTTGTTTCGCCCTGTGATCCTTACTGGAACTGAAATGTGACACCACCGATTTGGGCCTTTCTATGCACTCGAATTGCAAACCAAACAGTCAGATTTACAAAGGGTTACGCCACCTGCCGGCTTGGCATATACCTGTCCGATTGAGAAGATCTGACTTTCTACTATTGTCCGTTTCCTGATTGTGCTAAATCGATAGCCCGTCACGAACAAGCAATTCTTTGGATATCCGCATAACAACCCGAGAGTCTAAACATGCTGGCATGCACGCTTACAGCTTATTGATAATGACTGGCATGACGACCTACGTACATTAGAAAGAGATACGCCGATTATGGCGAGCAAGCGCGGTCAAGCTTTGCAGCAGCATTGCTTCCTGCAAGGGAGGCGTATGGCGACCCACAGCAATCGCACCAATCTAAGTGTGAGAGATAACACACAGTGCCCCTCGATTCTTTTACAGGGATATCAAAAGGCAGCAGGTCTAAATGTGGTGCTGTGTGAGATGTTTGCCCTAGGACCTTCCGCGTCGCTCATCAGATTCTAGTTGAATTGTGGTGCCTCCTTATACAAATACCTCCTGATGCACATGCTATTTTCAGTTGCTTGACTATTGAGATCCGCTTACGTCAAAATCTCAGCAAGAAGCTCATTCTATTCGTCAGACACTCTCTGTTGCTGGTCGAACTATAAAGGTGCTTCTCAAGGCACGGGCGCCATGCTGCATCCAATTCTTGACCTCAGCAACTTCAATATCGTCGTCTCTGTTATAGGTGAGAAGCACCGGAATCAACTAACATACAAAGCGCAACAACTTACTGTGGTAAAGCGTTTTATATTCTCATTTTCGGATATGTTTCGCTCAGAATCAAGCAGAGGTGGTACCTCGGGGAAGCCTGTATGAACCCAAGATTCGCACTGATTTAACATGATACTGATTCTCAACTAGTACCAGCCTTTTTAATTGGTGTCTCGCTAGGGCCGATCGGCGCTAGGTTTCTGAACATATCTCAGTGGGGAGGAGGGGATGACGATTACCGCAGTGACATCGCATTTGTAAATTCCCTTCTGATAAGCTACTAATAGATCGATACTGATGATAGCAGAACCTGACACGCCTAGTGATAGGCATACAGTTGGTAAAAGCTGGATATCAATTGCCCAAGAGATACATAAGACAGCGTCTCTGCGAACTGGCTATATGTCTTCTTCCACTCATGACTATAGCATGGTTTGCAACATCTGCATGTATCTTGCTTGCGATTCCTAGTATATCCTTTGTACGTTCACTGGAGCTTTAACAACTCAGGCACCAACCTGTAAGTCTGTGCTGACCGTCTCGTGTGTAGCTTTCAGCTCTTATTATAAGCGCTTGCGTGACTTGCACGGATCCTGTTCTATCTCAAGCCATTGCAAAAGGTCCCTTTGCAGACAACTATGTTCGGCGACCACTTCGAGAGTTTATTTCGGCCGAGGCAGGGGCAAATGATGGCTTTGGTTTCCCATTTCTGCTGCTTGCGCTTTCCTTGTTGCGTTACGCAGAAGCGCCTGAAAACACCGCTAGCCTGGAGGACTTCGATCTGGAGCGAGGCATCCCCGATTCACTCGGCGCAACGAGCGCAGGGCGCTTCGGTGGAGGAGTCGGCCCTGCGTTAAAACATTGGGCCGTGGAGGGAGTCCTGTACATGATTTTCCTGGGTGCCTCCTACGGCGCCTTTGTCGGCTTCACTTGCCAGAAGCTACTCAAGGGCGCATCCAAGCGAAGATGGATCGATAATGAAAGCTTTACTCTGGTCCCTGTGGCAATTGGCATGCTCATTGTTGGGACGTGCGGCTGTTTTGGATCCGATGAAACACTTGCCTGCTTCATAGCTGGGAGTGTGCTCAACTGGGATGGCCTTTACCAGGCTGAGATGCAGGCCCGGCATGACTCTTTCAATTCGACAATCGAGACTTTGCTGAACACTGCAGCTTTCATGTATCTTGGTGCAGTCATGCCATGGGACCAGTTTCATAGACCCCATGACACTGGGATCTCCATCTGGCGCTTACTTGGACTAGGCTTTTTAATCCTTATCTTTCGTCGCATTCCCGCCATTATAGCAGGATACAAGTTCATGCCCAAGGTCTGCAGTGATTGGAAAGAAGCGTTGTTTTTGGGTTACTTTGGACCGATCGGTAAGCAGCGCTCGCCCCCAGGATAACGTTCGTTCTCAGGCTCATGCTACTTGGCAGGCATCGGTGCTATCGCATATGTGGAGTATGCTCGCCGCCTCTTTCCCTCCCCAGGCGAAAGTGACACTGAGATTAACAATCTGACCGCCGCCATGACACCAGGTAAGACTACAGATCATTATTATTTGGAATTGATTCGCACCTAACCGCAGTCTGCGCAGTTGTCTATTGGTTGGTGCTGTTCTCCATCGTTGTCCATGGACTGTCGGTACCTGCGCTTGATGCGCTCTACAGGTTTTTCGGCGTGTGCAAGATCCGTGACCATCCGGTGGCGATTGCTCTGCTCTCAGATAATGAAGCCCTCCCCAATAATTGCTCAGTTGATCCTCAGCGGCATTCGATGATTGTCAACAACCGCTTCTCGCGGCCGTCTGACAGCGACACTGACGGGCAAAATGGCCAAGTACGGAAAGAATCAGGAACGATGACTCGGCTAAGCGAGGATAGTCCGCTCAATGCGAGCAATGAGCATTTGGATATCCCCTTATTTAGCCACCGAGCAGGAGGCTCAGCCACCGTTCGGGCTATTGTCTGAAAGTGTGTTCTGTCCTACTCGATATGGACGAAGAAAGGAGATGGAACGAGAGACGCGCACGTTCATTCATTTCATTCATGCATTTATCGTGCCATGCCAGCTCAATACATATCAGTCCATATTATGTCCAGACCATCGACCATTCGCTTCTGGCTTAATACTGACATTGTGATCTGCGATCTCGAGGCGATTTGAAAACAACCCCGCGAAGCCAGGAGGACGACTTCAGACAGGGCAGGTCTAGCGGCATGAATAAGAGGGTTGAACAAATGACCAGACGAGATGTATGCCATACCTTTCCGCAAGAGCCGCATGTCTTCACTTCGCCAGCGATGGTAGCACCGCAAGAGGGGCAAGAGTTGTGGCCCATTTTGCAAGATTTGTTTCTGTTTGGAGTCGGTGAGGGGCTGTGGTTGGATGTGTGAGTTGACCTGGTGGGGTTCGGTTACACACAAGATGGAGATTTCGGGGCAGCGTACCTTGAGGTGAAGGAAGATAAATATTCGCGAAGATGGGAGATGCAAAGCGAAGCGACTTGAGGTGGTGAAGAAAGTGAGAACAGGAATAAACGGCCTTCAGCCATGAGCTGTCGTTTGTTTACCCCGCCGCGTGATCCAGGCTGATGTACCCGCTTTCCCGCCGTTGTGATTGGCTGTGGTGCTGATAAGGTCGGACTCATATAAGGTAGTGATCATGGATCCTCGCCAACCATCACTTTAGCCAGCGAGCTTCTCCATGTCACATGCCATTAACTGACTCTATCAGACTGAGTGGCGCTCAGAGTGATTTGTGATGTGCTTCTCAGAAATCATTGATACCTTTCGCAGATCGGTACTCCAAGACCGGATTATCTGTGTTCTTATCACCAGTCAATTCGCAGATTGTATGTACATACAAGATATCGCCGCACACGGGAACATTCTCAAACGCTGCAAGCTGCATAGGGCGCTCGAATATGATGAGGCCCTTTGACTGTATTACTGTGCAGGAGCTCTGTGCCTGAGCATGCGCAGAATGAACCCTCAATTCGGAGTCCCCCACTCCAATCCCAGTCAAGGCCGCGTATCAATATATACTTATATCTCTAGTCAGAGAGTCGGGTGCCTTGGGTTCGCGATCTCACTACCTCCGCTCAATGGTCACAACTACCTCGTCGAATTCGGCCCCTAATGAGAGACGATGAGTTCGGCAAGCAGGGCCAGCAGATGTGGGGGTCTCTTCATGCGAATCTCAGGATGAACATGTGTTCCTTACGAGGGCAAGTCGATGTCTACATTTCAGATCACGGCCGATTACAAAGAGATAAGTGAGGAGCTATCTCGTGGCTGCATGCTGTAGTGAAGGTCATGCAGTTGCATAGTAGGTGGGTGCCTTGAGATTGTAAATCCGTCCTTGGCGCGAAATAATGCCACTTGTGTGTTCGGTGTACTTCGACCAAGAAGGCACAGAACCCTGAGGTAGCCGGGCTGGCTATTTAAGCTACTTGGTGACGCAGGTATTATGACTTAGTCCCTTAGACCAGTGCCTCAACAGGAAGCGGTAGATGGTTGCCAGCCGGCGACGGCGGTAAGGACGGTGGGACTGCTAAAATCTACAATCTCGACTGGGAGGGCACCCGAGGGTAGATATAGAAGCGAATGAAGGAACACGAAAGAATCGTGGGACATTGAGGTACTCATTTAGCCGCAGATCATGGCATCTCAAGCGCGGAATGATTGATGATAGCACATTGGGATTTTGTTCATCATAAGATTGCATAACGAACCATTTTCTTTTACGCAAAACATCTTTCTGGTGATTTCTAACCACGATCTATGTAAACTTGTATGTAGTGCAGGACCACAGCTACAATCATGGTATTACGCCACTGGCTCGCAGTGTGTTGGCCATCGTGGGCGGAATGAGCAACATGGGGTCTGAACCTGAAGCGACTGTGCTAGAAGCATGATACCGGCTCACGTTATGCGAGGTTTTATCGCGTGTCCATTTTCTGCAAGCCTCAAGTCGCCCCAAGAGATCTATCTTCAAGGTCAGGCGATCACAACTGATGAGAAAGTTCTTCAGTCTAGACTCCCCCCGGAATGGAGTCAAAGCAAGACATGCCAAAAATATATCTTCTATCTCCACAAAACTCGGCAAAGCTCCACTAAGCTCCCGACTCCCAGAGTCTAGAGCTCCCCCTGAGAAGGACTGTGGTGAGGTGTGACTCAGCTCCGTAAGATCAGTTAGCGTGACTGAAATCTGTATACTCTTTCTTTCTCAGGGGGTTTCGTTGTAGATAGTTGATCACATAGTAGTACTACGTGTCTAGATCCACAAAGAAAGCGATGATAGTAGCAGTAGTCGTTTGTCCAGGTAATGTATGTACACAGACCTAGAAGCCGTTAGTTACCGAGATGTTCACTCCGTACTGCATGCAGTCCGCATTCTTCCCCTTTCCTAAAACTTCCGGCCGAGGGGGACTTGGTCCCCACATCCCGCTAACTGGGGAAAAGGATTGCCTCGGGGAGGTCGGGGAAATGACGAGCACGTGGATGATTGTTGTTTTCGGGAATAGCCTCGCCTTGGCTTGGGGGAAAATGGAACTGTTGTTTATCAACTTACGCTTGAAGCTCTCCTGCTGACTTTCTCAGCTGTCGTTGGTTCTTGCTTGGCAAACAATGCTTTGTTGATTCGGATTGATTTTACCCGGATGATCAATTAGTTTAGTACAGGGTAGCGGTTGACGCGCGTGATAGGGGATTTTGATTGCCACGCGCCTGGGGGGGGGGGTCGAGTTACTTTTTTTTTTTTTTTTTTTTTTTTTTTTTTAGCTAAGGGGGATATTGTATGCAGGGACACGGATGGGAATACGTGGTGGTGAATTACTCATTTTCGTCTGTAGTTGATTGTTGGGTAGTTAGGTGTATCTCTCGTGTGAGGAACATGAGGACCGTATACAACGTGAATGTAAAGAATGATGTTTCTGTCGTCATTGTTGAATGACTTCCGTTCTTGGACAAGTTCCTAACCGGAAAAGCCGCCACCCACCAGGCGTCCAGGAGAGAACAGGTGGAAACCGGGAAAAAAGGTCGCCAGGCGAAGAAAGGACGAGAACATCCGGGGAACTGGCCCGTGTTTTCTGGTCGGATGCGGGGTACAGATTTGAAGACCCGACCTTGCTTTCCGACCGGCTATGCCTGTCTGCCTGCCCTGTCTGTTTGTATAATTGTACCAAGTATACCTCTATCAGTGCTCTGGTCCGGAAAAGTGTTTACGGCAGTTACACTTCTCCTCATCTTACTCAGGCGGCTTTTCTGATGCCAAAGCCCTCGATCCGAGGGGACGTGCAGAAAAGGCGCGCCTGACCCCTGCGTGGGCTTGGGGTGCTGCGCCCCAGGGGGTGATTTACTCTATAGTAACAGTCGGTTATCCTCGTGGAAAGTCGGGATCAAAGACTTTGGGATGGACCTGTCATGTGCGTTGTTTTTCTTATTCAGTACTTGCTTTTGGGTGTACGTTCGACGAGGGAAATTCTTTAGTTTAGTGTGCATCAGTAGGGGGCTGTCAGTACGTGATTTGGGGCTGTAGACACAAATTAATGCCTCAATTCGGGTGTGCGTGATCTTGAACATGAGTGATTTACATAGCAGTACGGTAAAGACGGGGGTGGCTTACGCGCAATGAACGCGGTATGACGAGCCAGTGCCTCAAGAATGGGTGCTTTTCTGATCTTCTGCTTGATCTTCCCTCTTTTTTCTCGTGTCGTTCCCAAAATGGAGGGGGCGCATATCCCGAAAACTTGAGTCGATGAAAAAAGCACGGCAATATCTTCTGCCCACCGCATTTCACGATGGTGACGTTGGATTGTCAATCCGGAGAAGTGGACTTGTTTCATTGGCCGGACCGGGAAGGGCTTCGGAAGGCAGCTGACCCTCACTTGACCGAAAACAGCCTAGAGCCATGGAGCAACACCCGAATTTCTCTCCCGGGAATTTCGTCACTCGGAAAGATTCCTGGGTCTGGGCCTGTAAGTTGGGCAATTGGGGCAATTTGGGGGTGGTTGCAGCCTCCCGGGCGGTCAGACTGTTACATAAGCCAAACGGGGCCCTCCCCACCTTTTTTCGTTAGTGAATACGGAAGTGCTCCGTCGCGCCGAGGACAGTTTCTAATGAATTTTTTTTCCTGCCAGGCGCTTCTCTTGCTACCCAGTCGGGAATAGTCTGCGTTGATCTGGGAGAGGCTTAGAGCCCATGCCGAGAAAAGGGAGGGCTTCCTTCCCCCGCAATTTCCATCGTTTACCCATGTCCTGTAGGTTAATCGCCTCTAAAATCCTCGTTGGATGGTTGGCTATTCTTGAGTTCATTCAACGTCATCACTTCCGCATCAACTGTCAGTTGATGGTCAAGAGAGAAAACTGACTCTGCGCTCCCGTGGGAGAAGCTGGGAATAATCGCTTTCAGCTCGTAGGACTGACTGTCGGTTTCGTAATAGAAAATGCAGGGGGCTTGCTTAAATACCTCGTTTGCAGAATGGTCGGCTTTGATATCTCGAGCCTGTCACACCGATAGTACTGTGTCGAGAGAGTACGGCTAGTAGTACCTTTTTCTTATTTTTACTGAGTTGTTAGCCCCTCCCATTCCCCCCCTCCCCTGTTGGCCTAGATTGAGACATTAACGCACTATCGGTTGATAACGCCTGAATTCTCATTTCTTGTTCCCGATCCTGCTGTTATTCCCTCACTTTTAGTTGGTGCATCCGCGCAGAGCTTCCGGAACCACTTCGTGCCCACATCTCAGATCTCGGAACAAGTCGGATTACCCCGAGAGGCAATTTTGCCTCTGTTTCGACTGTTTCGACTTTCCACGATAACCAACAACCGCTTCAGCCTTCAGCCCGGTCCTTAGCCCCGACATCTTCCGTGGAACTGTGGAGAAGGCTCATTACTCCAAAGAATCAAACCTCGTTGCGACCTGAATTCGCTGCCATCATGGCCCCAGCTGGAAACATTCATATACCTC